CATGTTTTGCTCAAACTTTTGCCATGGCATTAGAACTGGTACACCGTTGTCGCTTACGAAATCAAAATGAGGCGCCGTGGGCGGAAACTTACAGAATAAGGTGCGGTAATATTATAATGAGATCCCTTTGCAACGTCACTAGGGGAGCGAAATCAGACGCGCTCGTTTTTCAGACGCTTGCGGAAAAAGGCTTACCAAAACAAAATTAAGCCGCAGTCACACTACACTTTGAGAATGCGAAATTCGTTCAGACGCTGCAATGGTCGTGATATGACATCATGCTCTGCAGCGTCTTTTTAAAAACTTAAATTCAACTCATAAACAATAATAATACACCTAAAATGTAAAAACATACAATCTACTCCACTTTCCTGCAGCGCTGCTGTTTTAAATTTATGTTCTTTTAATTCAGATAGGAGGTCATGCTGTGACGTATCATCTGCCGTTGGTCACACGGCGACACGACTGTAGTGGGCCTCATAACCAACAACAATGAGGCCGACTACAGGAGCGAAGTGAGCCGACTGGTTCAGTGGTGTAACAACAACAATCTCTTCCTCAATGTGGGGAAGACAAAAGAACTTGTCATCGACTTCAGAAGAAGACCTCCACAGCACCCCCCACTAACCATCAACGGTGCCGTAGTGGAGAGGGTGAGCAGCACAAAGTTCCTAGGGGTGCATATCTCTGAAAACCTCTCCTGGATGACAACGAAAACCATAGATATGTATAGATAGATGCCCCATTCGACGGCTCCAGGCACAGATGCGGCCGCCATCTTGGAACGGTCAACTTGACGTCATTCACCATACTGTAGGTTCTCACAGAGCCATTGAGCCTTTCTGTGCAGGATTGTGGCATCTTTCGAATATTCAGTGATTACTATGGTGAATGACCTCAAGTTGACCGATACAATATGGCCGACGGCTTATGTATAGCGGCCCATAGAAACAGTCGCTAATGAGGGAGAGGGTGAGCAGCACCAAGTTCCTAGGGGTGCATATATCTGAGGACCTCTCCTGGACGACAAACACCACATCGCTGGCCAAGAAGGCTCAGTCACGCCTCTACTTCCTCCGAAAACTAAGGAAAGCACGAGTCCCACCTCCCATCATGTGTTCCTTCTACCGGGGCACAATTGAAAGCATCCTCACCAGCTGCATCACAGTGTGGTTCGGATGCAGCACTGTATCCTGTTGAAAGACTCTGCAATGCATAGTGAATGCAGCCAGCAAGATCATCAGTGTCTCTCTGCCCTCCCTTATGGACATCTTCCACACCCGCCTCACCCATAGATATATATCTATGGCATCTACGTATATATATGGGCGAATTCCAAACTGCTTTTTTGCGCCCTTGAAGGGCACTTCGAGAAGGGGATGCCATTTGTAGGGACGTTCCAAACGGAAGTGAACAACTGAATCCCTTCACGAAGGGCCCTTCCAGAAGTCCGTTAGCGAAGGGAACATGCGATGGTCACTTT